CCCGACCGAAGGCTATTCGGGTCTTCTCGGAGTTACTCCTCCGCCTCACCCGATGGTGGCGATGCTGTAGCTTCTTTGGGCGCTGATTTTGCTACTTTGTCTCTCAATACCCACGATAAAGGCTCCTAAAGTCGCGCCAAAGGCGACTACAAGATTCATAGTTTGGATTTTGCCGATGGAAGTAGCGGCTCATGTAGCGAGTCCCTCAAGCTTATCGGCTTCCCCACAGGCATCCTACCGGTGCAGGACTCCAAGATGTTGGCCATTGATGAAGAACTCAAGCGGATGTAGAAGCGCCGGTATCAGCGTTGGCCTCGGCAACCGGCTGCTGCTTGGGATCTGGCCGGAAGACAACACGTCCAAAGTTAGAACATCTTACCACCCTGTTTGAAATGGCAGGGGCAAGGTGTTGCATGATTTGCTGGCGCACCTCGAGGCTGGCTCTGGCCATGACAACGGTTGTTTGGCCCGGATGGGTTTCCTGGAGCCCTGTTCTACACAGCAGGAAGAGTTTAAAGGAAACTGTTAAGAGCCCCTTTTGCGTCTCGTTTCCTCTTTAATGGCGGCATTCGAGGAGGTGTATAAAAGGAACATAGAGCTTACCAATCACGGAGGTTTCTTTGTCGTTGAAGCTTTGAGTTCGGCCTTTCGTGGCAGATCATCTGCAAAGGGGTAGAGGGAAGCGCCGTTACGTCCGAAGAGACTCCGTCAGCGGCGCCTCTGGCGAAGGGCGTGGCGTGGCAGATCCGAACCTGTTTTTCAGCGCCGTCAGCAGGATCGTCCCGGGACCCCAGCCGACGCCCGGCAAGTGAGTAGGGGGGCGCCGCGCCGCCGGTCGCTGAAGTTGCGACCCAACCGACTGGGACCTCCGCCCCAGTGCGTGCGGTTCGATCCTACTCCAGTGGGCGGGAGACTGGGATCTTCTGGCCCAATTGGACAATCCTGGAAGACCCGTTTATCACCAACATTCTCAGGACCGGTTACAAGCTGCCAATGTCGCCGTGTGCGCGCCTCTGACTTCAGCGCCCCAGTCACGTGTATGCTCCAGACCAACAGTTACTGCTAGCAGAACCAGCATCCACACTCTGTTCGCATGACAAACAAGCTATAGAGACAGTGCTAGACCCCGACAGTCGGGGTTCTACTCACCAATCTTCCTGGTTCCCCCAAGAAGGACTCAGGGGAAACTACGAATGATTCACAACATGGCAGTTTTCAACCACCTTTATCTTCCGGAACCGCCTCACTTCCGCATGGTGTCCCTGGAACAGCTTCTGAGCCAAGCTTTAGCCCAGGGTCTGGTTGGCCAGCCTCGACCTTGGTCAGGATGCCTACCTGCATGTGCCCATTTACCACCGTCACAGAAATTACCTGAGGTTCTTTTTCCAGCGAGGTCCCACTACCAGTGGAAAGTGCTTCCATTTGGAATTTCCGCGGCCCGTGGCTTTACTCGGGATTACCTCGCCCGATCACCCGGTTCCTCCATCTCAGGGGCATCGACTTGCGACCCTTATATAGGCGACTGTCTCATGAACCACCTCGACCCTCAGTTGCTTCCCAAACAGATGCACTTGCCATTCATCTCTTGCAGCAACTGGGATGGATATCAACATAGACAAATCCCACCTGGAGCGTCCCAGGAACTGGCGTTTATAGGAGGCCTCTTCCTGACACATTGCGACCTTGTCAGGATTCCGCTAGATCGCTGGAGAAAGATTGTCAGTTTAAGCCAACCGAGGGTCGAGCGCTCGTGCTCAGGGAGTGGCAGTCCCTCTTAGGTCTCCTCACCTCAGCCCAGGACTTGGCGGCTCAGAGGTAAAGCGATGCTTCGGCCGTTACAAGCGCTTCCTGTTGCCTTACATCCAGGCGGGACGACCTTCAGTTGAGGTTCCTTTGCCCCTGCATCTCCGGCTTACCTCCGTTGGTGGACTGTCGAGTCGAGCGTCTGCGCAGGAGTCTCCTTGACAGAGTTTGTTCACGATCCGCGAACTGTTAAGTAGATCGTCTCTTCAAGGTTGGGGTGCTCACCTCAGCGACCAGACCACCTCGGGGCTGTGGTCAGGCACCGAGCTAGGATGGCACATCAACAACTTGGAGCTGCAAGCAGTCATTTTAAGCGGTTCGAGCACTGGGTGCCTCTGTTGCGGAACACCAGGCTCCTGATAAGCGTCGGACAATTCCACGGTGGTGTGGTTGATTCACAATCAGGGAGCGACCAGGTCAAACAGTTGTTGGAGCAGGCGTTCCAGCTGGCCAGTCTCCTGGGCGACAATGGCATCAGCGCCAGAGCCCGACACATCCCAGGGTGCAAGAGCGTTTGGCAGGCGCTCTCTCAAGGCCGGGCAAACCGTCTCCAACAGAGTGGATGCTACATCCAGAAGCGTTCAAACTTCTTTGTCACAGTCACGGCCGCCCTCTGGTCGACCTGTTTGCGACTTCGCTTCAACACACAGCTGCCGTTATGCGTGTCTCCGATTCAGATCCAGCGGCATGGCGATTCGGCGCCATGTCGCTTGTCGTGGGAGGGTCTGGGCGTATGCGCCTTTCCACCACCAGTTCTGTTGCCAGCGGTAATAGCAAAGGTCAGCGGACAGAGGCGATTAGGTCTGCTTTTGGTCGCCTTGGTGGCCAGCCAGAACCTGGTTCCCCAGATCTGCGCCGTCTCGCCCGAAGAAGTCCGCAACAGTTACCAGACTGGCCTCACCTGCTCAGAGCATCCCCAAAGTAGACAGTGGCATCCGATCCGACTCGGTTTCATCTGTGCGGTTGGATCATCTGCAAAAAGCTGAAGGCCAAGGGCTTCTCCGCGAAGATTGTCGCCAAGGTTATTGCTCCGTGCTCATCGAGTCTCCACAAGATCACTCTATATGATGATAAGTGGGTTTCTTTTGAGAAGTTTGTGCACAGAAGTCAAGGACCCATTGAAGGCTTCTCCTCAGTTTATAGCAGAGTTCCTTCTCTTTCTTGAAGGAAGTCCCGGCGTCTCAAGGGGCTTACTATAGGAACTTATTTATCGGCTCTTAACTCCGTTCTGGTCAAGTCGCGACAAAAGATTTCCAAGGTGCCAGAACTCATGCGCTTCCGTCCTCAAAAGCGTTTAAGCTGGAGGACCAGAAAGAGCAAAGCTCGAATCCTCGGCTTGGGACCTAAGCGTGGTTCTTCGTCATCTGAGAGGTCCCCTTATGAGCCCTTGGACCACGGCTTCTTTTGAGAACCTCTCCAGGAAGACAGCTTTTCTCTTGGCCCTGGCCACAGCAGCTAGGGTTAGTGAGATCCGCATTGGATGTCACCAGAGATTAGCGTTTTGAGCAGTCGCGGCATGGTCTTGTTCATCTCAGGACTGCTTTGGGACTTCGTGGCCAAGAACCAGCTGCGGGGACAACGGATAGGATCTTCTCCATCCCTCCTTTGTCTTCCATTCTAGGACCTCCACGTCACGTTCTGAGGAACAGCAGCTGCTTTGTCCCGTGAGGGCACTTAAGATTTATATTGCCAAGTCATCTTCCAGGAGGCAGTCTCGTAGAGACTGTTCATCCGACATTGTCTTCTGTGGCCAAAGGTGAAGTTAATAAGAATCGCGGCTTTAGCTCTGGCTCCGTACTACCATCCTGACCGCATGGCCTACGATCGCCAAGATCTGCCTCATCCCCTACAGCCACTAATCCGTAAGCATGAGATTAGGGCTCTGGCATCCACCATGGCTCTCCACAGAAACTGCAACGTTCCAGCCATCATGGAGGGTTGTTTTTGAAGTCCTCTACTGTCTTCGCTAGTCATTACCTGGGCGCGGATTTGGCGTCGAGGGCGTGGAAGGTCTTCAATCGTTTGGTCCACTGGTAGTTGCTCAGCAACTCACCCATCCTACCGCCCATTAGGTAACTACTTCTTCTTACCTTCTGGTCTTCAGGTTAACTTACACTCTGGGTGTATTTGTTTTCCTTAGGGTTGCCTTTAGTCACTATCTGTCTCCTGTTCAGGCGCCTCCTGCGACAGTCTGGCGATTCAGTAGTTTCTTCTGGTTTTCCCTTGGCATGTGGGTTTTCGTGGGGCGGTCCTCTGGAGCCCGACACGCCGTCCCTACTGTCGAATCCATATGCATAAGACCTATGGTAAGGTAAGTTAAAATTTATTAAAATCTAAATATTTTAGATATTTAAATACTTACCTTACCATAGGGCGGTAACTCCCTCCCAACGCTGGATGCTCCTCCCCTCTCTGGGCTCTTCGGACCTGGTCAGTAAAAGTGATTTTGGATGGACCGCGCTTGCGGCGAGGAGATCCGCGTCACTTCCGTTGCCTGTACTCATACCGTCGAGCACGAGGTGGCCGTTCTACAGAATGGCGAATTAACGACTGTCTGATCTCTTTAAGCGGAGCTTGAGGTAATATGCATAAGACCTATGGTAAGGTAAGTATTTAAATATCTAAAATATTTAGATTTTAATAATAGTTATCAACACCATGAACATGATAATAATTCCTTGTGATTTTGCTTCTAGCTATGCTCTGGTGTATCGGCTAGGAGGTACATCTAGTGATGCGACGATACTGAAGATAGAAAACGGCATGTACCGAGTGTGTTCATCCACTGCAGACAATCAGTTCGGAGGCAACCAGTTCACTGAAGTCCTGCTCAAATATCTTGCTATGGAATTTAAAAGGTGAGCAAAGAATGGCGCTATGTCACCTCCTACTCACTCACAACAAACGTGGATTGTAATTCATAATGTCAATCACTGGATTGTCCATAGACATTTGAAATGAAGAGACTTTGCATTGCGCATTGTATGTGCTGCAATACAATATTAGCCATCTATTAGACATTCTAGAATGTTCTTTTGTTCGGTTTTCAAATATTGAATGAAGAATACATCAAAATATATTTCAAAGCTTTGTTGCCAATTTGAAACTCGTGCCAAACAGCTCAAGAAATCTGCTTTCAAATTGGCTAATGTTGTCTCCTTTTCAAGGTCACAGCGACACTTTGAAGATTTCAGCATGTCAAGCTGCATGTTAAGCTTGTCAGCAAGATATCTCAAGAACCATTCACTGGATTTTCTTCATGTTTGACACCAAGCTTCATCTAGGGAAGGTGCAAGGTCCAGTCGATTTTAGTGACCTTCAAATAATTGTCAAGGTCATAGCGACACTTTGAAGTTTTCAGCATGTTAAACTGCATGTTAAGATTGTCAGCGAGATATCTCGTAAACAGTTCACTGGATTTTCTTCATAGACTTTCAAGACTTCCCTTGAATGTTTTTCAATAAGCAATTTCTTTATTACTATTATTGCATATTTCATACACTAAGACATTTATGTCAAGGTCAAAGTGAGTCTTGAAAATATTTGTGAGTTTGAACAACTATAGATCAAGATATCAAGAGAGGTTGACTGGTCATGATTTTGTTGACATTTAACTTCGTCTTAAACTTTCATTGCAGACACTTGTTATATGTGATACCATAACATTGCAGACACTTGTTATATGTGATACCATAACATTGCAGACACTTGTTATATGTGATATCATAACATTGCAGACTCTTGTTATATGTGATATCATAACATTGCAGACTCTTGTTATATGTGATATCATAACATTGCAGACACTTGTTAAATGTGATATCATAACATTGCAGACACTTGTTATATATGATATAACATTGCAGACACTTATTATATGTGATATCATAACATTGCAGACACTTGTTATATGTGATACCATAACATTGCAGACACTTGTTATATGTGATATCAAAACATTGCAGACTCTTGTTATATCTGATATCATAACATTGCAGACACTTGTTATATGTGATACCATAACATTGCAGACTCTTGTTAAATGTGATATCATAACATTGCAGACACTTGTTATATATGATAAAACATTGCAGACACTTGTTATATGTGATATCATAACATTGCAGACACTTGTTATATGTGATATCATAACATTGCAGACACTTGTTATATGTGATACCATAACATTGCAGACACTTGTTATATGTGATATCAAAACATTGCAGACTCTTGTTAAATGTGATATCATAACATTGCAGACACTTGTTATATGTGATATCAAAACATTGCAGACTCTTGTTATATGTGATATCATAACATTGCAGACACTTGTTATATGTGATATCATAACATTGCAGACACTTGTTATATGTGATATCATAACATTGCAGACTCTTGTTATATGTGATATAACATTGCAGATTCTTGTTATATGTGATATCATAACATTGCAGACACTTGTTATATGTGATATCATAACATTGCAGACTCTTGTTATATGTGATATCATAACATTGCAGACTCTTGTTATATGTGATATCATAACATTGCAGACACTTGTTATATATGATATAACATTGCAGACACTTGTTAAATGTGATATCATAACATTGCAGACACTTGTTATAATTGATATCATAACATTGCAGACACTTGTTATATGTGATATAACATTGCAGACACTTGTTATATGTGATATCATAACATTGCAGACACTTGTACGTGCGGAAATGTGCAAACTCGCCAAGTTTGTGCTTGTGTCGTAATGGTGACGTAAGTATTGATTCTCGTCACTATATGGCTGGAATAATGCCGATGTGACGTAAAGCCCAACTCAACTCAACTCAACTGCAGACACTTGTTATATGTGATACATAACATTGCAGACAGTACAAGGCTGATGTGACTGAAAACAAGCGCTCTGTTACCAAGCTACGCCTCGCTGCCGAGACCTGCAAGCATGCTCTGTCCACTCTGGGTAATGCCAAGTGTGCAGTGGAGTCTCTCTACGATGGCATGGATTTCCATCATGGGGTTTCAAGGTAAGAGGACTAGATAATGCCAATGGGTAGTTCATTGTAGTTATTTGACCTCAGGACAGACTCCTGTTGGGATTAGGAGTGGTGGGTAGCTGAGTGGTTAAAGTGTTCGCTCTTCACGCCGAATGTCTGATTCCCCAAGCGTTGTAAAACTGGACTCACTCACTCAGTAGGGATTACAGGTAACATCACAGCTATATGTGATGGTCGGAGAAGGTTACTAAATGGATCAGGTGTCCTCCTGGGTTACTTGGTTCAGTGCGTGTCGTCGCTCTCTGGGTTGTAAATGGTTGCTCTTAATACCAATCTAGTGATTGTCTGGAGAGTGGGTACAATGTGTGAAGCCCATTTCTGGTATCCCCCGCCGTGATATTGCTGAAATATTGTTAAAAGCGGCGTAAAACTAAAAGTCAGTCAGTCAATTGTCTGGAGAGGGGTTGGTTTTTAATTTTTTTGCTTTTAAGGGTGAAAATGAACAGTAACAGTGATGAGCTAGTGGTGGAAGGGTGCTGGGGGAAAATGTTGGGGGGCAATGAAGTCCAAACCATTCCATAGATCTGCAGGTTTGTTTAGTCTCTGAAATGAAGGAAGTCTCTGGGCTCATTTTAGGAGATAAACATCATGTGTTGGCCAATTTCCGGCTGATGCCGTCGGTTCCAAATATCCCATGCTTCAAATACTCCATAACACCCGGAAATTGGCCAACACATGATGTTTATCGACATTGTAAACACAAAAGTAAACCAAAAGGTCCACACACGTTTTTTTTTGTCTGCATTCATTGACATCGAGTACGGGTACAGCAGTGAAATGTCATCAGCAGGACGTTTCGGGTGTCTCCCATGGTAGCATCTTGTAGCGGTGGGGGTAGCCTAGTGGTTAAAGCGTTCTCGCGTCACGCCGAAGGCCCAGATTCGATTCCCCACATGGGTACAATGTGTGAAGCCCATTTCTGGTGTCCCCTGCCGTGATATTGTTTGAATATTGCTAAAAGCGGTGTAAAATTGAACTCACTCACTCCAAGAGTCTGTGTGACTTGTATGTCTATGTGGTACTGATACTCAAAGGTTCATTGGCCGCCTCCGTGGTGTAGTGGTTAGAACCTCGCCCAGAGAGCGGAAGGTCGCGGTTCGATCCCTGACCGCGTCATACCAAAAGACGTTAAAATATGGTACTTATTGGTCCCTGCCTGGCGCTCGGCATTAATGGGTACAACAAGGACTGGTCGGCTCGGAGTCAGTATAATGTGTCTGAGTGGGGTATTCATGCTTCACTACGGCATGGTATCTCAGTGAGCTAGCACTATAAAACCAGCTTAAATCTGGGCTTGTACAAGCAGCTGCACATACACATACACACGCATGCACGTCGTCATATGAGCGAAATATTCTCAAACACGACGTTAAACCCAATTTCACCTCACCTCAAAAGTTCGTTCTTGATGTCGAGCACTTGTTTGCTAAGCATAAACTCCACAATGTACAGACTGCACTGATCTATTGTTGTTGCGACAACACTCACTCTAAGATTTGAAGCAGTTCACCTGTGTTGCCACCATGACGTGTGTTTGTTCCAGGGCCAGGTTTGAGAGTCTCTGTACCAACCTCCTCCAGCAGGGCAATAGCCTCATAGAGAAGTGCCTCACTGAGGCAGGGCTGAACAAGACAGACATCAGTAAAGTAGGTCCACCTTGTCACTATAGCATTGTCAGTTTATGCCATCATGCAATTGATGTGTTATTGGTTATATTGCTTGCTTGTGTCTGCTCTGGTTATCTCCCCTTGTCCAATCCTTTTGGATTGAGTTATCTCCCCTTGTCCAATTTGCCGTCTGATGCAATCTTCTCTTCTGCCACCAAGTCAACATGTATGTTCGCACCAATGGTGACATCTGAATTTGTGTTTGAGTCCAGTATGTGTAGGTATGAGTGGGACTCAAGATAGGAGCTTGGTTGTTGGTCAGTATCATATATTATGACCTTTACCAACAACTTAAGCGTCTTAGCACCATTACTCAACCATTTTGTTTCCAAATGTAATAAAATTTGATATATTGTTTTAAAATCATCACAGTTTAGTGTTAGTTTTTCTTCAGTATTGTTTTCGTAGTAGAAATTTGTTTTGTCAATGTCTTTGTTGACTAAATGTTCATGTGGGCTAACAAAGTGTCAGATATCATAGTTATGTCGCTTTGCCAATGTGACTGGCTAACAGGTACATATGTTACCATGGCAACTGACCTCTCCTTTCAGGTGATTCTGTGTGGGGGCGGGGCCAAGGTACCGATTGTGCAGAAATCTGTGGCTGACACTGTGAAAGGGGCCGAGGTGCTGACCTCCATATCTCCAGATGAGGTCATCGCCATGGGAGCAGCTAAAGAGGTCAGATTTTTACCAAATACACCCTGTGATATTTTACATCAATGTCAATTTATACTATCAGTTTCAGATAAATGTCATTTGGTCATTACATGATTTCTTCAACTTTAGTGGGATATTCTTGTTATGCTTGTGTTCCATACTAAGCTGAATTAGAATTCTCATTGTTTGTTAAATCAGGACATATACAACTGATGCAGTTTCCTGACTTGTGAAACGGCAATGTGAATAACATATTTGTTATACATGTTTGGGGCGATGGGGTAGCCTAGTGGTTGAAGCATTCACTCGTCACGCCGAACACGCAGGTTCGATTCACCACATGGGTACAATATTTCTGAATATTGCTCTCTCACTCACTCACTGGGTACTCACTATTTCTGAATACTTGCTCTCTCACTCACTCACTCACTCACTCACTCACTCACTCACTACTCTGCATGTTTCAGCAGGAAGCATCCTCGACCATCTTGATCGTAGTATTAGATCATTTAGATATTTCAAGACCTCTATTATATGTTCTATGCTTTGTATTGCAGGCAGCATTCCTGGTTGGGAAAGAGATTGAAGATTTGAAAGATCATGAAGAGCACACTCAAGCCAGATGTCTCTCAAGCTGTGTCTGTGTGAAGGTGGGTGTGTGTGAAGGTGGATCAGTGATGTCTGTGTGAAGGTGGATGTGTGTGAAGGTGGATCAGTGATGTCTGTGTGAAGGTGGATCAGTGATGTCTGTGTGCAGGTGGGTGTGTGTGTGAAGGTGGATCAGTGATGTCTGTGTGAAGGTGGATCAGTGATGTCTGTGTGAAGGTGGATCAGTGATTCACGCCCGCTGTGTGAAGCAATATTCCAGTGATGTCTGGGTGAAGAAATGGATCAGTGATGTCTGTGCCCAAGTGGGGTGTGAAGGTGGATCGAGTGATGCTTTGTGTAAAGGTGGATCACCAATGTCTGTGTGAAGGTGGATCAGTGATGTCTGTGTGAAGGTGGATCAGTGATGTCTGTGTGAAGGTGGATCAGCGATGTCTGTGTGAAGGTGGATCAGTGATGTCTGTGTGAAGGTGGATCAGTGATGTCTGTGTGCAGGTGGGTGTGTGTGAAGGTGGATCAGTGATGTCTGTGTGAAGGTGGATCAGCAATGTCTGTGTGAACAACCAAGAAGTTGTTATCCATAAGATTTGTCTTGTATTACTACACCAACTTCTAAATGCCTGTTGGGGCGTTGGGGTGGCCTAGTGGTTAATGTGTTGGCTTGTCATGCCGAAGCCCGGGTTCGATTCCCCACATGGGCACAATGTGTTAAGCCCATTTCTGGTGTCCCCCGTCGTGATATTGCTGGAATATTGCTAAAAGCGGCGTAAAACTTAACTCAGTCAGTCAGTCTAAATGCCTTTGAAGAATTTCTATAATACCACTTAAAGCAGATGCTCATGATGTCAGTCACTGGTTTCTCTGGTCCAGACTGGAATATTTACTCCTATCATATACCTGGAAAATGTGTTTTCAGTGAAAACTAACAGTGGCTTATCATTTCAATCCTTATGCTAAGGTGTAACAGTGATGCTTGCTTGATGCCGTAGGTGTCGGATGATCCCGAGACGGACAACCTGATCACATCGCTGCCAAAGCTGAGCCTCATTCCGTCCAGGAAGCAGCACACTTTCACACTTGCCGACGCCCAGGACAACTTCAGTATGGAGGTGTATGAGGCCAGCGATCCACCCACACTACAAAACTCATCCCTCCTTGCCAGGGTAAGTGAATTCCTGTATGTGTAAGACATTGAGATCAACTGTTGCCACTTGATCGGGTATAAGGATAATTCCTGTATGTGTAAGACATTGAGATCAACTGTTGATCGGGTATAAGGATAATTCCACTTGATGAGGATAAACTGTTGCCACTTGATATAAGGATAATTCCTGTATGTGTAAGACATTGAGATCAACTGTTGCCCATCTTAAGGATCCTGTATGTGTAGAAGGATAATTCCTGTATGTGTAAGACATTGAGATCAACTGTTGCCACTTGATCGGGGTATAGAGGTACAATTCTTGGAACGATTTATTGTAATAGAATAGCTTAGGAATCCTCCATAGAACATGTCAGAAGTCCCATGAATAGCATATATTAGAATGGTTCATGCAAACAGCACTTGTTTAGTTCCATGATATGGAAGACTCAGTGTATACATAACATCTTTGGTTCAATTACAAAATGACAAAACCTTCTGGACCAGATTTTGAAGGTGGAGATTTTCAAAAGTGCAAGGTGATGACTTTGTCGAAGACATAAGGAGGATGCACACATTTTTTATAGAAAAAACGACTTTTTTACAATGGAGGAGACTTTACTGTGCATGTAATGAGAACAATGGGGCCAATCTTTGTACATTCTGACCTGTCGGATATTCAGTGTACATAATGTCTGTCCTCACCAAATTGTAAGTTCCCTCGAACATGTCCCAAAACTGTGACCACGGGTTTGAATCCGATTTTTCACCTGAATATGATTCAAAGTTCATCAGCACTGTACCCTTGGTGTTGAGTTCCACCTGCATCACTTCGGGTTCTCCTCCCTCATCTCCTCACTCCCTCCTCACCTCCTCCCACCCACCCTCCCTCACCCTCACTCACTCCACTCACTCACTCCACCTCACTCACTCACTCACTCCTCCTCACTCCTCACTCCTCACTCACTCACTCCCTCACTCACTCCACTCACTACTCACTCACCACTCCTCACTCACTCACTCACTCACTCCTCACTCCTCCACTCACTCACTCACTCACTCACTCCTCCTCACTCCACCCACTCCTCCTCACTCACTCACTCCTCCTCACTCACTCCTCCTCACTCCTCCTCACTCACTCACTCACTCCACCTACTCACTCACTCACTCAGCAGATAACAGTTTTGGGTACGTGTGATGACATGTAATTATTACCCCCACAGATAGTGATGCGAGATCTTCCTACGCCCAGCAGTATACAAGCGAACTTCCATCTTAGAAGGTAAGATTTCATTTCAATATTTTTTCTAAAAAACTTGGTAGATATATCAAACAGAACCTAAAGTGGTGACTTTTGCTATTTGCAGATTTTTGGCATCTATATTTTTCTTGGTTGCCATGGAAACGAGTTGAACTTCATCTCAAAAGGGAAGGGTGACCTTCGTTTCCGATTCACAACTCGAAAACCGACCAATATCTTTCTTCAAGACTTGGTAGATATAGCAGACATAAGCTAAAGTGGTGCCTTTTGCTGTTTGCAGCTCTTTGGCATTTTTATATTTCCTGATTTCCATGGAAACAATTTGGACCTAGTCCAAAAAAATCAAGTTGGACTTTAAGTAACTGTCAGGTGATTTGTTCTTTTAAATTTTTGTCATCTTCTGATGACTCTTGTTTCAAAAGTTCAGATTATCTCCCTTCCTGCCTGTATGTCACAACCCTGAATCATTTGTTTTGAAGTCTCGGAACAAGGTTTGATATTGTAGGGGAGAAGATAACAGCTGGGGTACTGTACAGATATGTAGCCATCCACGAAATACTACAGAATCTATCTAAATGGGTTCTTGAACACTTTCTGTTGTGTAACACATGTTTTTACATTGATATGACTCGTATGGTAATGCATTGTATGTATAGTGACGCTGGAACTATAAATCAGTTTGGAGTGTAGAAGGCCTGGGTTCGATTCCTACATGGGTACAATGTGTTAAGCCCATTTGTGGAGTCCCCTGCCATGATGTCGCTGGAATATTGCTAAAAGCAGTGTAAAAAACATACTGACTCACTGTAAATCAGTTTAATCTTGCATCGCAATACAATGCTGCATTGCCGTACCGATACACCACTGAAGATATTGAATATGTGATTATTACTGAAAGTTCAATCTGTCATTTCAGAGAGGGAACTCTCCACGTCACGTGCCAAGAGCTGACATCAAATAGGGAAGAGAGTGTCACGATTGGCATCAGCTGATAACATGGCTAACGTGCAAGCATTATGTGACGAATACTTCCTGTGCCAGTAAATCAAATATCAACATGTGGTTATGTTGGATGTGTTGTCCGCCACTGTTGCGTATGATGAATGGCAAACATTCTAACTTCATATTACGAGATTAACATTTTCATTTCAAACATTGTTTTGTGAGACAGCTGTTTGTTCTGTGTTTGCAGCATAATGTGAGTTGTCTCCCCTTAGGTGATTGTGAAGGTTATGCATTTGTTGGTGGATTGCCGATTCCATTAAAGCTTGTTAAATGTTCCACTCTATTGTGATACAGCTCTGTAGGAAGATCTGGTCACACCACGATAGGTGAATGTGCTACCAGTAGTCAGGCTTCAAAATTCTTCATTGATATGCATTTTAGAAGTTGAGTTGATGAAGAATAATGACAATTATTATGGATATACAACTTCTTTTATTCTGTGGAGGTGATGTTTCGACATAGATTCTATTAATGTCGTTGTCAAAATTCTTGATGATTAGTAAAGAAAGCATTCAGACCAGCGAATCTGATTTCTGAAGTGTGAACATAGATATATATTGTGCAGGTCCAAATGCAGAAAAGAAAAGCTGTTGTATGATGATGTAGATTTTTTCTACACCCTGTAGTTTTGTACCACATAGCATCTCTACCCCCATGGTTAACACTGTCAATAGTGAACGTGTGTGTTGCTAATCTCTATTACTTACAGCCCATGAAGATCTGGGTTAGAACTAAGCTTCAGCAACCCATGCTTGTCTTAAGAGACGACTGATGGGATCTGGTGGTTGATGCATCATATCCCAGCTGCATAGATTGATAGCCATGATAGCTGGAATATTGCTGAGTGAGGAATCAATCAATCAATCAATCAATGGTGGTCATGATGTCAATCCCTGGATTCTCTTTTCTAGACCTGGATATCTAAATACTGCTGTCATATAGATGGAATATTGCTGACTGCAGAGTTAGGCCAAAAGGTTTTGCTTCGATAAAAATTACGATTAACGCATTTGATGAAGGATGCTGAATTGCTTTAGAAAGTCCACCAATTGGCTCCAGACCCCACACATCCTTCATTAAGATGGGCAGTCTAAGTAAACTTAGACTCAGTATTATTCGTTACACTGCTATACTGAGTCTAACAAAACCTTGTGGAAGGTCGTGTCAGGTAACCTTTCCAATTGACCAATCAGAACACAGCTTACCAAATCACAAAAGTGGATATTCGCACATACCTTTTGAACTTTTCCCTCGAAAAAGTTTGTACCTGAACGATTCCGAATGCTATTTTTCCGTGCACGATCGGTTCCTAGTGATGCACACCACAGCAGTGAGTAAACATTCGGCTGAAAATAGCGCTTTGTCAGTATTAAAGCATGTCAACTTGCAGAAAATATTAGCTAATTATAACCATGTCAACAGGAACTCCAAAGCGTATATACTGCAGGTCAAATATCAGTGTTTTATGCAGATTTTTCATTTGTTGGGAGATCAGTGTTGGAGACCGGGACGAGAAAATCCATTTTGTAAGTCCCGCCAAACCCTAAATAGTAGCCGTTGTCTGATTGGTTAAATCTGTTTGGCCGTCAGCTTTGATTGGACGGTCATGGGTCGCACTCAAAGGTTACCTGGCCAGCGACCTTCCACAAGGTGTTGTTAGACTCAGTATAGCAGTGTAACGAATAATACTGAGTCTAAGTTACTTAGACTGTAAAGATGGGTGGTTAAGGTTCACTCATTTGGTTTGTTGTTTAACGCACACACTCAGCAATATTCCATCTAAATGGCAGCGGTCTGTAAATAATAGTCTGGACCACACAATCCAGTGATGAACATAATGTGCATCGATCTATGCAACGGGGATCACGATGACCACCGATCCGTTAAGTCGCCTCTAACAACAAGCGTGGGTTACTGAAGACCAATTCTAACCCGGTCCTTCATAGGTTCACTGGAAGTGGTAGGGTAGCCTAGTGGTTAAAGCGTCAGCTCATCATGCCGAAGACCCGGGTTCGATTCCCCACATGGGCAAAATGTGTGAAGCCCATTTTTGGTGTCCCCCGCCGTGATATTGCTGGAATATTGCTAAAACCGGCGTAAAATCAAACTCACTCACTCACTCACTCATAGGTTCACTCAAATTCACCTTGGAGGTGTATCAGATCTGCATGCAGAAAGGTATCACATCAGAGAAAAATGTCTGATTTTGAAGAGATAATCTTTCAGCTGAACCATTGGCAGTGTGCTGCATAGATTTTTTGTTACTTTTGACAGACAATCACATTAAGAATGCTTAATAGTTTTGTTTAAGAAACCTTTGTGAAGCCAAATATTTTTCACAATGTTTGATAGTTTAGGTAATATTTTTGTACAACAGATGGAAAGTTTTGATCAATACAGAGAGTACATGTTTAAATGCTTCATGATACATTACTGCGCATCTAGTTAACACAGATGCATGTTTGGATGAGATTGTAAATAGATCACATCCTTGGGTTTTGTGAAACGATCTATTACAAGTATTTAGGGGAAGTTTATTGTTGAACAAAGACAAGCCCATGTTGATAGCTTTGTGTTTCAAACGAAACAAATTTCTGAGCAGAAGATGATTATTCTTTTGTGACATATATCATCCTTTGTAAGTCATAACATTTATGTACAGCTGTGGAGAGTTGCCTCCCTTACTTATGCCAGCATCCCATGATCAGGGGTTGGAATCCCATTTCCCCTGATTATGATTCTTTGATTTCGTCTCAATTATAGCCATGTTGTTTGCAAAACTGTATATTGTAACACCTCTGGCACTCTTCAAACATAATGTATAATTGGTGTCCTACAACAAATGGCACTCATTCATTCTTGTTTGTTTTCATTCTCGCTGTACAACTATGTGAGGTAGTGTGAACAATTTACACAGTGAGGCGGAGGCTACCAAGGGAAGGCAGCCAAGTCAAGCTGACACCTGGGCAGCATATGGGCTAGATTGGCTGGTCAGTGTCCCTCCCTCCTTGGCCCTGGCATCCGGGTAGAATAGGTCTTCAGCAACCCATGTGCTTGCCATAAAAGGCGACTATGCTTGTCGTAAGAGGCAACTAACGGGATCGGGTGGTCAGTTTCGCTGACTTGTTGACACATGTCATCGGTTCCCAATTGCGCAGATCGATGCTCATGCTGTTGATCACTGCATTGTCTGGTCCAGACTCGATTATTTACAGACCGCCGCCATATAGCTGGGATATTGCTGAGTGCGGCGTAAAACTAAACTCACTCACTCACTCACCTTGGCCCTGGCCCTGGCTTGCCTTCTGCTGGTTGTCCATGCTGTTCCTGCTGTCTGCTCGCTCCCATTTGATTAATCATAGGGTCTGCTTTTAAACGCAGATGAACGACGTACAATCTGCATAGGTCGGCAATTCTCATGGACATAATCAGATTATCTGGTCGTATTTTGACTTGTTTGAATAACTCTCACAAGAGTACAGGACAAATATTGTTACAAAATGGCATAAGACCTGGATCCCTTTGGGCCTTCTGCCCACATAAAGCAAACATGGTGTGACTGAAATACTTTTCAAAGTTAATAATAGTAATAATAGTCCATTTATCATGCGCATTTCTCCATGCACAATGCATGCCGAAGCGCCCAAACAATCTGATTATTATTACCCTGGATAACCCAAGCTGCCTGTGAAGCCCTCGAAAGTTATGGTTGCATGACTTATCCCACCTGGTACCCATATTCTGCTAGGTGAACAGAGGCAATTTTGAACAAACTCACTTGCCTAAGGTGAGACCACATGTCTCAATGTGCTTCGTGTAGGACAGGACACATGTCCTAGAAACTCCCATGAGTCAAGCTGCCAAACACGGTCACCCAACGGATTACTTCCCGCCCCCAACCTGGTTAACTTCAACTGATTTGTGACCTGAGCTCTATGCACCGGACCACGCATAGTTAGGTTGAACCCATCAGATATGTACTGAATGAATATATGAGTGTTTTGCTCTGATGTGATATTATACCAGTAATTACCGTAAAGGTTTCAACATATTCTCTTAAGGGCAAAGAACCTATGCTTCATGTAAGGTTAATATGAATGACAGTTGTATTTAATTATACATTACAAGTTTAATATGAAGATCCCAAGGGTAGTTTCCTCAACCTGAATAATGTTTTGCATGTTGTAAGAATGCTGAATATAGTATGTATATTTGAATAAACAAACTTTGTTCAATTTATGTATTGTGTTGTTTGTAAAACGTACTTATATTCAACTCAAACTCAAACTCTTTTATTCTCAAGAGAAACATTATAAACATTTGCAATACATAAACATACAGGCAAGATGGCAGAAAGTACAATTATAGTTTTATAATATAAATACAGCATAGATACAGTTTACAATATAAACATTTAGTCCTTTTCACACTTTTCCACTAAGTTTAGGTATTTTGCCAAATGTTTTGTTTGTGCAAGGTTTTGCTTCAGGAATATGTTTTTATAAGTTATTAGATTAGGGAAAGATACGATTTAATGGGAATGTATTTCTTTGTTTAGTGAAAGCTTCACATTTAAATACATAATGAAATTCATCTTCTACAGCAGGTGATTTACACAGATTTGCAGGTTCTGTTTTCATAATCAATGCCATGCCAACGGCCAACTTCAACAGGTAGGTTATGGTTAAACCAAAACACCGCTTCTACGCAGCTTTTATACATTTCAAAAAAGCTTTTGATTTTGTAAGCAGAAGGTAAATGTTACATCTGTGGAAAAACGGTGTCCATGGTAAGATCTATAAGGTGTTGGCAAGTATGTATTCTAATGTGTTGTCCTATATTCAACACAGGTCGATGGAGAACACAGTCGTTCAACACTTCCGTTGGAGTTAGGCAGGGTTGTATGCTCAGTCCGCTTCTGTTTATCTTCTTTATAAATCGGTTTGTTAAAGAACTTAATGAAAGTAACAGTAATGGTATATTTGTAAATGACTGCATTGAGGTAGTTAAAATACTATTGTTTGCAGACATGTAGTCCTGGTGGCAGACTCGCCAATTGACTTACAAAGAAAGTTAGATATATTAGAGCAGTTTTGTATAATGTGGGGTTTTCAAGTTAATCTTGAGAAATCAAATGTTATAGT